TTAGTCATTGAACCAGGGAAAACCCTGCTCTGCTGGGTCTGTCTCATGAAGCACAGAGAGACTGAGGTTTGGCAAAGACAAGCAAGACAAAATATTTCCCCAAATGTTCCCAAAATATATAGAATCATTTCGGTAAGGGTAAAGCCATTTATTCTACAAGTAATAAGGCTTAGAATGCAAATGTCCTAGAATATTTCAAGTAATGCATTAGAATGACATTTTGCATTATGGCTAATAGTTATCGGACCTTATTCTGAAATGACATTAAACTGCTATACCCGAGCCAGCCCAGGTTTGTCATATCTCTCTCAGATCAATGTCCAACTGGTTCGAGTTAGATAATCTGGACCTGATCTAAGGGGAATGAACGGCAGAGGAGCAGGAAGTGTCCAGCCATGCCCTTCTAGACTTTCCCTAGAAAGACGCCTGACCTACCACAATCCTCCTTCTAGGATTTATATTCAGAGGGTGGGAGGCAGCCAAAAGTCAGAAAGGCAACCAAAAGCCAAAATTCTCTGAATCAGCTTCTCTTAGCACACCCAAAATGTTCAAAATAAAAATGTGGCCTCCTTTTTTCATCAGCAACTTATATGAATCAGACTTTCACAAGATGTCTGTGAGAAACACAAGAAGACTTCGTTGGATGTTGGAGCACCACTCATTGAACCAATGTAATAGAGATGCCAAACACATAAACTGACACTAAGGAAACTGTAAAGAAAGGCATTTACATCAAATATTGTAATTTTTCTATATAATAATGTAATTATTCACCCTCTTTTTTAAGAATATTCCACAGTTATGATCCATCCTTAGAAACCAATGTGTCTCAGACACGGGTCTCTTGTACTATATTAGTCAATTTTTTGTCACTGTGACAAAATACTTAAGAACCACTTAAAGAGGAGGAAAGATTCATTTTGACTCACAGCTCCAGAGATTTCCAGTCCATGGTTGGCCAGAGTCATTTCTCTAGGCCTGTGGTGAGGCAGAAACATCATGACAGAAAGGCAAGATAGCCACTCATGATGGTGCATGCCTGTAATCCAAGCACTTGGGAGGCTGAGGCAGGAGAAGCACAGAAGTTGAAGGTCAGCCTGTGCTGGAAAGTGAGTTCAAGGACAGCCTGAACTACATAGTGAGACCCAGTCTCAAAAAGACAAAAAGAAGAAGAACAAGGAGTGGGGAGAGGAGAAGGAGGAAGAAGAGCAAAGCAGAGGAAATCTGCTCACCTTGTGGCCGCCAGAAAGCAGAGAGAGGAGAAAAGATAGAAAGAAAGAGGCAGGGACCAGGTACAGTCTCCAAAGTCTTACCCTCTCGGTCTACTCCTTTCAGCGAGGCCCCATCCCCGTCGTTAACCCATCAAGGAAGTCAGAGACCTCACAGTCCAGCCACTTTGGAGAGGCCCATCAGTAACCAGCCCTTTAACACAACAAGGTTTTGGTGGAGCATGTTATCCCAGCTATGACATGTACCTTCAGCATAAGATTTTTTTATAAAGCCATGGCAGTGCCAGGTAATAGTTGGAATCTAATTGTATTAACTTTGTAAATTAGTAGGAGCTATTCTGTTGCTTTCCTGCTTTTTCGCTTGGTTTAGTTTGCTTCCTTTTTATCAGAGTAATTAGTATGTATTAATTGTGTACGTAATAGGTGACATTATGACATTTCCACACATGTGTACAATATGCTTTGGTCATATCCACCCTCCCTAGACCTGCCTCCCCCTCTCCTTCTTCCTGGCCCCCTTCCCCCACCTCTTCCCCTTCTCCAACAGCGGTTTCATTTGTTTAAAATGGCCCAGGAATCCCAGAATCCACTGCGCTAGAGGACAGAAAGGTTGATGGAGACTACTTTGGCCAAGGACCAGTTAATTTTGATCTTTTGGCCATTGAGACTCCTTATTTTTGACATATTTTACTAGCAAACAAAAAAGTACATATTCAAAATACATACTATGATTATATATATATATACATAATATATGTATTCTCTAGTAATTACCACAATACAATTAATACATTCATCATCCATAGCTAACACAGTGTATGTGTGTGTGTGCTTACACTGAAGATGAAAAAAAATCTTCTTATCAAATTTCAAGTAGACAATACATTACTGCTAGCTGTAGTCATCATGCTGTAATTACACCCCAAAACTTATTCATGTTATACCTGAAATTTTGTACCCTGTGACCGATATTTCCCAGCTCCCTCCAGTTCTCCTGCCACCAGAAACCACCGTTCTTGTGGTATCTGTGAATTAGACTTTCTTAGATTCTGCTCAAAAGTGAGATCAAACGGTATTTGTCTTTCTGTGTCTGACATATTTTTCTTTGCATAAGTTCCTTCGGTTTCAACCACATTGTCACAAATGGCAGGATTTCCTTCTTTTTAAGGGATGAATAATGTTCTGCTTTAGGGGGAAACCTCATTTTCTCCATCCATTAATCTTGTGAGGGACACTTGAGTTGCTCCCATCCCTAAGCTATTGTGAATACCATTGCTACAAATACTAGTGTGCAAATATCTCTTTGAGCTTTAGTTCTTTTCGGTAAAGACTGACAGACACAACTGGCAGTTTTGTAGCAGCTGAATCATTTTCACTCCCACCAATAATGCACAAGGGTTCTACTTTATCCACATCCTCACCAACACATTATTCTCCTTTTGTTTATAATAACCACACGAATGGGTGAGAATTAATGTTGCATTGTAGTTTTCATTGCATTTCCCAGATGACCAGTTCCACGCATGAGATCATGTGTTAAGTGACCATTAACACACCCATCATGATAAATATCTGTTTCATCTTTTGCCTTAAATGTGAATTTCAAGTAAACAATGAATTGTATTGGTTTATAGATCTCACACAGTATTCAGAATGTATGTGTATGAAGAACAATCTCTTGTTTATCTGAAACTCAATTGTAACTGAGTGTCCTGTGTTTTTACTTGATAAATCCAGCAACATCAGAAAATGAGAAGTGTGATGGTTCTAAAACAATCTTTAAATATTTCACAATTGTGCGAAGGTGATGTCTGAAAGAGTTTAGTGTATATCTGTGGGTGTTGGGCTGGTAGCCCTGCTTTATTACAAAATTGTAATTTCATTTTGAGATCTTCCAGACTAAATCATTTGAGCTTCACACTCTTTGTGTAACATTATTGGACTCCCTTAATGAAATTATAACTCAAGCAAGATATTTCATTCTCTTGTAGTAAATTAGCTAGGGCTGGGAGAGCTCAGGGAGAGCAAATCTTTCCCCAGGTTTATTCTTCTTGTTTGGTAGAATGAAGAAGTAGCAGGCATTTTATATTTGAGTTATTTATTGTTCTCTTTGTGTGAACATTATATTGTTGCCTGTCCCTACTGAAAACAACAGCTGTTAACAGGCTCCTGAATGAATTTCAGTGTGAACTCCATTGGCCTCTGGAAAGCTCAGCTAAAGAGAAAACAGGCTCAGCCTCAGCAGAAAAAGAGCAAGTTTCAGACTTGGTCGGGATGCCTGAAGCCAAGGGCATATGAAACTACTAGCAAGTGTTTTCATGAAAATAACACTTAGAGCAAGGTATACAGTGTCAAAGTATAAACAGTTCAAGCAGCTAAGCTTGTGATGGCCAGTGCCCTCAGCAACCTAAACAACAGGAGCCAGCGAGATGGCACACAGCTTTAATCCCAGCCTCTGGGAGGCTGAGGCTGGAAGACCACATGTTTGAACCCTGCCCGGGCAAGTTAGCAGTTTAGCAAGATTCAAAATAAAACAAAATGAAAATAAAAAGTCTAGGGATGTAGCTCACTGTGAAGGTTCTGGATTCAATTCCCAGTACCATAAAAACAAATAAACCAAAAAACTAGGAATATAAGCAGTGATTCTGTTGTGAATGTGTATCACACTGGGTAAGTAGTAGCACTATTTCCATCTAGTCTTTTAGTAAATGTGCTGAGGATTTACACTAAAACACAGAGAATCATGCAGACTTGATGGGGATTGTTGTGCAGAAGGGAGTCCTGGAAAAGAGAGGGCTCCATGTTCAGTGCCTCTGATAGGTTCTTTGTCAGGGAAATAAGTTCCATGTGGAGGAAAGACTCCCAGCTCCTGCCATTTAACGTAATCGAAACTCTCTAACATAAGGAACTTTAAATTTGGCTTGCTTCCTTAGGCTTGCTTTTTCCCCTCCCAGTAATTCCTGCAACTGTCTCTCTGTTTGAGAAGTTGCTGAGGCCATGGGAGAAAACATGTTATTGGTCACAGATGGCATTTCCCATGACCCATTTTCCCAACTCTGCTACACTCAGTGGCCAGTACCCAGGGGACTCTGCCAGCCTCGCCTTTGCTTCCCTGGTGAACAGGGCTGTGGTCAAAGGGCAAACTGTGGAACCTACCCACAGTGTCAGATACACTTGTGCATTCCCAAGAAGCACTATTCAGACCCTCTGTACTGTGCTGGCCTTACTCCCTTCTCTCCTTTCTTCTACATCTGCTCAAACACACCTAGTCCACATAGGGAATGTTACCATTGCAATAGGCCACTCTTGTCTTTTGTGCATTTCAAGTCCATGAAGTAAATTCACCAGCAAGGAAAACAAAAGATTTGTCTTTATTTTCACAATGTTCTGTCAATTATGGAAATTTTTACTTGTGTTAGTCTATGACATGACCTTCATATGGTGGCTTGGGCCCACCCACCTGGTAAGCAGATGCATGGTTGCCACCCTGAGGACAATCACATAGACTTTGTGGGCATGGAACCAAAGCAGGAAAAATGCCAAAACTAATAGAAGAAAGATGGAAATCATAAAATTTAAAATTGAATGGAGAAGAATTTGATAAAATGCTGTCAGAAATTCAATAAAAGACTGGGCCAGAAAGAAGTATCTGAAAGCAAAATGACCTTTCCACCTCCCTTGTCCAACCCCTCAGTAATAAGAACATATGAGAGCATTGAGTTTTGCTGAAACTCGATGTCAAAAGTACATTTCCTGTTCTTTTCTTTCCAGACAAAGTCAGCATACTGTCAACCTTCCTCGCTCCCTTCAAGTACCTAAGTCCTGGCACCACAAACACGGAGGATGAAGACAATCTCAGTAAGCACCTCCCTTTCCCCAAAGATGGAGAGGTCCCCACTGGATATGGGAGGTGCCATTGTCCCCAAAGGCTGGGGTCATGGGAGCCATGTGAGGGGCCTGATGTTCTTCCTTGAAGCAGGAAGTTCCAGGAAATCCATTCTTCTTCCCTCAAGCACATCCTCACTCACAGTCCCATATTCGCCTGGCATCCCATGCTTACCTGGGCACCACTGTCACCTGAAATCCCATCTGTGCCCAAGTCCCACCCTCTTTTGCAGTCCTCTGCAGCACTCAGTGACAGTACCTAGGAGACCCTGCCAGCCTCACCTTTGCTCGCCTGCAATGCCAAAGTCAGAGTCCCATCCTCACCGGAACCCCACCTTCACTTTCAGTCCTACCTTTACTTGGGATCCACCCTCATCCACAGCTCCATCCTCATCCAGACAGACAACCCCACCTGGATTCCTATCTTCACATGAAATCCTGTTTGTACCTGCAATTCATTCTAGTTTCACCTGCAGTCCCTCACTCACCTGGAATCCTATCCTCAATCACAGCTCCACCTTTACCTAAAATCCTTACCTGCAGGTCTATCCTCAACTGGAATCTCATCTGCACTTAAAGCATCATAACTCACCAGGAATCCCACCCCAACCTGAAATCCCGTCCTCCCCTGGGGTCCCATCCTTACCCTAAAGACAGGAAAACATTACTACTGTCCACATGACTAAGCACTCTGGGGATTAGCGGAAATAAATCAGATGTCTTAGACCATCTACTCTCTTTCCTTGGCTTTTCTCTTCAAACAAAAACATAGAGAAAAAAGAAAAATGATTATAGTGACTTAGAGCATGGTTTGTAAAATTGTTTAACAAGGAAAGAGCTGGGCTGGAGCTTCCCTTTTGGAATATTTTTGGCATATGAAACTGGACAGAAGTCAAAGGAACATCATCAGGATACCTGATTTTAAACGAATCTGGCCTAAGGAAGGAATCTGTGCAATCACTTCTGTTTATTTCAATAAAGAGAGCTCAGAGCAGATACTTCTGATGAATGCATGAGAAAGAGAGAGCGAGCAAAGACAGAGACAGAGACAGAGAGACAGAGACAGACAAAGGGACAAAGATGGAGACAGAGACAGAATATCTTTGTAATATTTGTCTTGCACCGTAGTCTTTTTCTTGTGGTATACTGTCAAGCACTTAAAAAGGGGGAAAAACATTCTAAACCATATGGACACCACTTTGCATTTTAAAATCACCTAACAGATGGACCTTTTTTCAACTAAAATGAGCAAAGAACGTGCTTGTTGCTATGGGATGAGGAGGAAGGAATGTATTTACTGAGGGTCGCTAACCCTGCTAATGTTGGATAGACCAAAAATAAACAATGGCAAGAATTTCCACAGGAATGGTGTCCACTTTGCCATCATCTCCCAAGAGTCACAAAACATCAACACGGACACTTCTCCAGACCATATGATTAGTAATACTATTGGAAACTGAGGCTAATTCCCTGGATTGCTCTACCAAAGTGAAGTTATAGAGCCATCAAAAGTCAAAACCAGAGTAAATATTTGTGATCTTTTTCTTGGATCCCTTTATTTTCTAGAGGAGGGAGTGAAGGGGTGGCAAATAGGAGGAGTCGACTGGAACCAGACAGGGTTTAGGTTGGTTGGTCAGCTGGTTAGTTTTTGGCAATGCTAGGAATGGAACCCAGAGCTTTGCACCTGCTAGGCAAGTACTTTACCACTGAGGTACATCCTCAAGGCAAAAGCTCTTAACCCTGACTTCAGGGTGCCTTCCTAGGCAAGGCTTGTGGGTTGAAGCAAAACCTCGACAAATGATCATCTCTATTCTCCTGTGATTTAAATCAGAAAATTTCACAGATCAGTCAGGTTATTGAAAGTTACTTCAGAAACTTTGAGGAGAGAGAGAGTAATTAAACATATACCAAGTGTGTGACATGTACTGGATTTGAGATGTGGGCAAGGTTATCAGGAAAGACACGTGGAAGGAACTCTAACTCTGATTCCTCTTTCCCTCCTGAAGCTACTGAAGTCTTGGCCAAATCTCATCTCTCTTAGGAGAAAAAGAAATAAAAGAGTTAAAAAGACCTAGAGAATTCAGGAGGAATAAAACAAAGTATTTTTCACTCACTAAAAATGCACTAGCTACCTTTCTATAGCTAGAAGAGACTCAAGACCATGAAAAATACACTGCTCACACAAGTGGAAAGTCATGTTCTGTCCTGAGGGGGTTGAGAGTCACACCGCTTGAAGAACCTTCTGTCCCCTTCCCTAGGGCAGCACATGGACTGGCAACAGCTCATGAAACCCTTGTGTGGGACCAAGGCTCTCTGGACGCTCACTTGCCTCTAAATCTATGACCACCTGACCTTCATCACAAACCCGCCTCTCAGAGCTCCCGGCCTCATTTGCGAGACAGGGAGAGTCAGCAGCCTAAATCAGGCAGTGAGGAAAGGTTAGGACCTGGGGGGCACAAAAGCTCCATCGAGGTTGACTGGCACACCTACATAATTAAAGCTGTTTTCCCCTAATTCAGTTAAGTGATTAATGGGTAGAAATTTACAGATAAAAATAACTTTTAGTTGTTTATTATATGCTAAAATACTTTGAAATGTTTGTGAAACTTCATTTTCCATTTATAGGTCGATTTTACCCTCCTTGAATAGATACTGTAAATGTAGTTAGAACACTCTTTTTTCATAGATTGTTCAAAAACAAATCTCTAAACTAATTGGGGCCTGCTATACAGTATTGCTAGTGAGATCTGACCAGCAAGCTACCAAACGCCCCTGGAAAGTGAGAGAAGAGTCGTGTGTGCATGTGTGTGTGTTTATGATGTTTGTTGGATGTATATGAAGAGTTTGGTGTGTATATCTGTGGTGTGTGTTTAATGAGTATATGTGTATATGTTTGTGATATACATATGTAAATGTGTGATGTGTGCTCTGTGTATGTGTGTAGTTGTGTAGTGTGTATATGCACACATATGAGTATATGGTATACATAGTATATATGTATTAGGTATGTGAGGGGAGGTCCATGTTTGAGGTGTATGTGTGTTTTGTGTGGTAAGTATATTTATTTGTGTGATATGTATGCGAATATATGGTGTGTGTTATCTGTGCATGTGTGTAGTGTGGGTGTGAATGTATAGCATGTGGTATCTGCACATGTGTGTGTGGTGTGTGTGCACGTGTGTGGATGTGTGATGTCTGTGGATGTTGGTGTATATGTGTCATGTGAGTGCATATATGCACACATGTATGTGTGGGAGGAAGAGCAGGTGCAGGCAGTGCACAAAGCCTGTGCTGCAGTCTCATCCCCCACAGTGACATGGAGACAGCTCATGTGCAGCTCATGGATTCCCCCACATGGGAATTGTCCATGTTTCTCTGTGGCTACCTGATCCTCAGCCTTGGTACACATCCCTGCTTTTGCTGAGTGGTGTGAAAGCCTTGACTTAAAGGCCCTGAGCTGAGTGTCAGGAAGAGGTAACCGAGGTACACACGTACTGAACACCCACAGATCCTCCACCTGAGAGAGGATGGTGTCCCGGAGGCTCCACCTGGAAGGCACTCATCAGTAGGTTGTGCTTGGGCTCAGGGACACCCATACAATACCATGATTTTAAGACTCACCTGCATTCAGCCTTTAGCTCTGAAATGTTCTCCTTCCAATACTGAAAAGTGATGTGTGTCTATCCACCCACTCGCTCATCTCAACCCCGCCAACCCTGCCCAGATGTTGGGATTTGACCCAGAACCCAGGAAGAGTGGGTTTTTAGGTTGCAAAGTTCACACCTGCGCCTTAGGGACTCTGGTGAAAGAGGTCTCTCCCCTGCCATTTCTGCTTGGTCCTGAGTCCTGTACACACACAGCCCACCCTCATGGGATCATGCATGCCAAGCACGGTCATACCAGCAATTACCAGGACTATGCTTCCTCCTGCAAACCCTAGCCCAAGGCCTCCTGCCCTGCAACACAGCAAATGAGTTTCCTCCTAAAGCTTTGTGCACCAGGTGCTCTTCCTCCTGTTTGGATGGAAGATCCCTGCCTTTGCCATTCTCCTACCACTAGCCCTGCCCTGCAGAGGAATGGTTACTCTTTTTCAAACACTGAGGTCAACTGGCTGGAGAATAACCTTCACCAGGATATTGTCTCTTCAAATGTAGCATGGTACATCAGCTGGCTGGTTCTCCGGAGCCCTCCTGACCCACAGACATGGCGGTGTTCTTTATTAGTGATGTATATGGCCCCACTGATGCCAACACAGGAGCAGAAGTCAGATGTGCATAGTGGCCAGCAGAGGACAGCAGCCCACAGGGAGCTGGCAGAGCAAAGAGTGGCACACGGATAAATCCACAAGCAAGTGCAGCCTTCTGCACGTGCATCAGATGGGTGACAGCAACGAGACCCCATCCAAAGGCCCAAATCCACCTGGTGTCTCCACTTTTGAATTAGTAATCCCAGATCATCAAACTTAGTAAGTCCCAAAGAATATATTTTTCTTGGAATTTAAAAGTTTAGCCACCACTATGACAATATAAAATGTTGCTCTTTTCCCTAAAATACAATTCTTTTATGCATTAAACCTTTAAACTTAGCATTACATTTGCTGAGACTTTCGTCAAATGAGATAATGCACTTATGAGGCTCAGGGGACCAGTCCATCTGCGAGAGAAGCAGAATGGAAATAATTTCATTTCACATTTTCCCATATAGATGCCTCCCTGACTTAGACATTTTCTTTTAGTGCATGGCAGTCTTCAAATTGCCTGTGATTGGTCTATTACTTACTGCTGCCTCTGGTATTTATCTAATGTAGTTTGAAGTTATTTGACTGATTTTTTTTCTAATTTCCACAATGAATGGACACATGCCACTCTCAGAAAAGACCTTATAAAAATCACAGTTCATGGGTATCTCCTACAAGATGACTTGAAGAATGGGGCAATTTGCCAGGGTGACAAAGCAGAAGGGAAGCAGCACAT